TTTGTTTGATTTGTTGCTATTTCTTGTCTTATTGCTTTTCGTTGATTTTATTTAATTTTTCATTTCTTATTTTTGCCTTATTGCTCCTTTTTATCTTTTTCTTTTTTCTTTTATATTTTTTCTTTTCTTTTTTGTATTTTGTGGGGGTTTTTTGTGTTTTGTAGGGGTTTTTTTCCTATCGTTTATTTATTTTTCTTAATTTTGTGTTTTGATTGCTACTTTCTCTTATGTTTTGTTTTTGTTTATTTTTTTAATTTTGTTTGTTGCAATGCATTTTCACTAATCATATTTTACTCAGGAAAAAGTACAAAATGTACATTTAATTAGTCATTCTGTCATTTTTAATGCAGAATCAGTGTTTTGCTTTTGTGTAGTTTTATTATTCAAATAGTCCTTTCAATGACGAATCGGTTCCTAATGTCATTATCTGTCAGCCAGACTTCATAAGCCGCTGACACAATACAGCATGAATTCAATGAATGAACTTCCTGTTTACCGTAGATCAGTGATGCTTTACATAATGTCAGAACCCTGTTTGACTCTTTCTTCCGATGATCATTCATCACTTTCGAACCTCAATAAGGTCGTTTCCGGACACAAGCTTCAATCAGAGCCAAACATTCACACCTCATGTAGCAAATTAGATGTGCCTTTGTGTTTAATGACCATTTTTGTTGTGGCCTGACATTAGTGAGGCATGAGCTGTTCTTTGATTACCCAGAGTTCACCCTGATTCATCTCACTGTGGTTTAGTGCTGTCGAACGTGTCAGTAAATTCACCCTGCTACTTACAGTTAGGGCTCCATTAATTGGGCTAACGAGACATCTGTGTTGTTGCAGGATGTTATTTGATATTGACTGGTTAACGCAGGGACAGTATAGGACCCATGATACATTTATGTCATTTAGAGCCCATATGGTGGAGAGCAAACTAATGAGCTGCTGTTTCTCTCTCTTTCAGTTCTCTTAAACAACTTTTCACTGGGACTTAAAACAAATCATGCATCACAATTTTTTTTGAACCACAGAGAATTTTTTCTTGTCAGGAATAGGGACTAATTGACTTATAAGAGGATATTTGTAAAGCAAAACAATCAGATACATTAAGGTTTATTTGTGACAGGAACAAATAAATGAAATCTCTATGAACACATTCACATGCTGTCTGAATTGGCAGACCATGATGATCAGATGTTATTACATTTTGGCTTTATTTATTTGTTTATTTATTTATTTGTGTTTTTCCCTTTATTTTATTATTATTTTTGTCTTTTCTTGTTGTTTCTTTTGTTGCTTTGTTTTTATTTTTTTATAAATAATATAATATGTTTTATATGTTGTATTTTGGTTTTGTTTCTTTTGTTTTTATTTAATTTTGTTTTCTTTTCTTTTTGTTTCTTTTTTATTATGTTAGTTTTATCCCCTTTTTGTCTTTATACATAGTTTTTTTTTGTCTTTGGTTTGTTTTCTTTTATTTTGTTTTAGTTTTCTTCATTTTCTAAGTTTCTTTTTTACTTAGTTTTTTCCTTTTCTGTCTTCATATTTTTATTTTGTGGTGTTTTGTTTTGTTTTAGTTTGTTTTGTTGTTTTGTGGATTTTATTTCATGTTTTTGTTTTCTTTTATTTTGTTAATTAGTTTTTGTTTCTTTTATTTTGTTATGATTTGTTGTGTTTTATCAATTCAAATCTTTTTCGGTTTGCTTTGTTTTCATGTTGAACAATTCATTCAGATGCTTTTTTTCAAAGAGTGAAGAAAAGAAAGCTGCCATTGCACTTGTTATAAACAGTTTTGCATGAGAACATTTGTGTAAATACCATATTTCATTCAGAATCACTTGGAATCAATGTGGACAGACCTTCACTCCTGAAAAAATAGCTTGAATTTCCTATAATTTCAAGGTCAGTGCAGGTCTTAAATGGTATAGAGCACATATCTGAGCACTCTCCTCGTGACTTCAGTCTTATGACTGTACGGTTGGTGTTACCACCAGTGAACCTGAAGTACGCAGGTCTCTAGTGAAAGCTTGCAGGGCTCCAGGGCCCTCGGCCGCGCTCTGACCCTGCATTCACACTGCTCTGCTGAGATTAGTTCCACTCCGAAGGGCCTGTAACAGCTCCTCTAAGAGACGCGTCGCCCTGAGCTGCCAGTCCACCGGGGTTCCTGGAGAAAAGAGACTTTCGTTTTTTTAGAATTTATCATTCCGTGGGCAAGCGGGGGCTTGTGCTGCACGTTTACAGAGAGTTGAGGCTGTAAGGAAGCGTGTGTTGAGTGAGGTTTGTGTGGGTGGATGGGAAAGTTTCTCTGTCTGTCCCTCAAAAAATGTGTGTGTGTGCTGGCAGATGGACAGTATGACATGTGGAAGAGTGTGTGTGTGTGTTGGGGGTCTGTGAGGATCATATTGCAGCGGCTGTCACTGGTATGTGAGAGGAAACAGCTGAATGCTCCTGTACTCGGCTGAAGCGAGGTTAAAGTGCACTAAACACAACCTCAGGCTACTGTGGGTCACACAAACTGCGGGCACTTGACCATTTTCTTTTGATCAGATCTGTCTGTGTGAACTGACATTCACATGCCAAGCATTCTTTCATTTTTTTTCGGTCAGTTTTAGGAATCTCTTCTAGGACTTTTTATTAGCGGTGCTTGCTTAGGCAAAACCTCTAACGGCAAATATAAAATTGAACATTTTTGTTTTAATATGCATGCCTTATTGAGAACAACTTATTAATGCGTGTTTTTGCATGCAAAAAAAAAATGTATACGTGATCTTTAATCAAAGTGTAATCACTTATCAGAAATATCTTTGCTTAATATGCTTAAAGCCACGCAGCCTTTGGATAATATTAACCAATAACCGACTGAATTTTAATATAGTGGATGAAGAGTATCGCTTTCATATGCATTAATGAGATTAGGCTTTAATACTGAATATTTCTCTAGATAAAGATATTTCTGTGCACCAGTATCACTGTTTATTTGTGTTACTTAAGGAATAGCAGAGTATTTCTTGAATACATCGTTGGTTAATAATTCATGAATTTCATGCAAAAATCATTCAAACGGGCTGGTCTCTAGCGGCAATGCTGGAAAAAGAGGGGGTCAAATATTCATTTGAAGTGTTTTAATGGAACAAATTGCATGGAATTTATTTGCTTCTTCTTTAAATTATAAAAAAGGTAAAAATATGAATGGTATTATAATGTTATAGTAAAACTAAAACAATGGAAAAACCCTTAAAGAGCAGGTCATATGGTATTTTAAAGTGTCCTAATATTGTGTTGGAGTTAAAATCTTATAATAATGACATAAAATACAAAAACACTTATGAAAGCAAATCGTGCCCACAGCTGAAGTTTAGCTGCTAAACTGTGTACACTTAAAACAATAATGGTGGATACGTTAGCCGAGTGCTAACGTGACTAACTGATGAAACAATACAGTTTGAAAACCAAAATATGTCTACTGTAATGTTTGAAGATCGACAGACTAAAGACGCTCTGTGTCTTAACCTTTAACAGCTGTATCACATGCGCAGCAGCCGTCTCTCCCGCATTAACCCTATAGCTGCCAGTGCAGCAAAATAAACAGCAATTTCACTATGATTATAAAGTCTGTGCGCTACACTACATTCTTTATTATTAAACAAAGTAATTAGAACAACGACAGTCTACATTAATCGACACATTCTTAGGAAATAGTGGGTTCACAGCGAATTATCAGAACTACTTCAGTAAGACAGTAATATCGTGCTTTACCTGGAAACCTAAAGCTGCACTAGGTGTACATCACATATTAGCACAAAAACTTGATATTTTGAGCACTCAATTGAAAATGTACACATAACGTATCAATTGTACTTACAGGTTGTGGTTCGGAGACGGTTGTTAGTCCAAATTAAGAAGATTAGAAATCAACGAAGATAAAAGCCAAGATTAGAGAAGCAGGCCTTGGTAAAATAACATGCACACAACAAAAGGTTCGAATTGTATTTCTGTAGTATCCTTGAACACAGTGTCTTCTCAACATGATGTAAACACACTAACTAGCGGAAGTGTTTGTGGGCAGGTCAGACACGCGGGCAGGCGGGGATTATGCAAATGTGTTAACCAGTGACGTATACCGGTAACAGGCAAAAGATTCGAAAATGTCGACTCGTTAAGGCTTATTTATCATGCACTTTTTTGATTAACAACTTTGCAGATTGTTTTCATTTAAGGATAGCTACGTTATAAACTGCAAAATAGATAATTTTCAAAAACCCATATGACCTGCTCTTTAAGATAACATGTAGAAACAAAAAAAAACATCTTAAGTGTGCAGAATAACGTAAGTGGACTTTGAATGATTAATTGCCGCTTTGAACGATTACGTAATTGTGGCATCCATAATTGTAATCGCGATTAGAAATTCAATTAATTGTGCAGCCCTTATATATATATATATATATATATATATATATATATATATATATATATATATATATATATATATATATATATATATATATATATATATATATATATATATATATATATATATATATATATATATATATATATATATATATATATATATATATATATACACAAACACACACACACAGAAAGCGGGTAAAATGGTGTCAAAAAGAGTCAAAGTGGTGAAATTTTCACCAGATGTCGGTAACAATCCAAGTAATCCATACATACAAAGAAAGCAAAACAAATAAATTCAGAAATTAAGTTCTGTGTTTTTTTGTTGTATTTATTGCTTTAATATTTTATATAAATAAATAAATAAATATTAAATACATATTTAAATATTCACATTTTTCTTTTTATTTATTTATTTTTCTATATTAATTTAATTAATATAGATTCATATTAAAATAATTACTATTGTTTTAATTATATACTATTTTTAATTTTGAATAAACTACTTGAATTTTACTCTACTCCTAGTAATCAGTGTACTGCAAAGTGTTTTGGGCAAAAGCATCAGCTGCCGGACTGTCTCTTTGCAGGCCTAGGGCATGGGCGGAACCAAGAGTAAACCCAAAGAGCTCGGCCCGCGCTCCCGGAGTCTGGACGACGGCACCGGAGGACACCATCACAGTCCCAACCAGTCGTCCTTCACACCCAACCGGAGTCCGCCGGTGGACGGCAGCAGACGCGGCACCCAGCCCAACATCATCAGCGCGGAGCAGGCGCTGTTTGGAGGCGTGAACTCGAACAACAGCATTACGTCTCCTCACAGGGTCGGCACGCTGTCCGGTAATGCAGCTCGGTCTGATCAGCGTCCTTACGCTTCTGCTTTTGCTGACTTTCGGTATTATAGTGTTAACGGATATAGGCCAAGACATCTGAAGAGTGAACTGAAACAGTTTTGTGTGGGAAAATATGCCCTTTATTCACTATAGCACTTTTCAGCACACCTATTTTCTATGTAAATTAGGCTCGTTATAGATTTATGTATATAAAATTATAAAAAAAGTGCAGACCGTTTTGATGAATTCATTGTTTAAATCCCATGAATGAGATTCACAGGTAGACTTTTTTTTTTTAGCCTTAAGACTAAGACGCCACATCAGACCTTTAATGGACCATCTGATGCATACTGCATACAAAAATAGCACGGGATTTTCCAAACTCCTAAACTCCGATCTGATTGGCTGCTGTTCCAGGATCTCTGAGAGTTTTGTCTGTCTTTGTGGAAACAAATTGCATGATACCCAGCAATTTCTGTGGAAAACCACTTGCTGGATTTACTATAGTTTGTCCAGGAAATAACTGGCACTTTTTAGGTTTTGATTGTTTGAAATTTTGGCCTCAAAGTCTGTTAACATTTTGCATTTTGGTCAGTAATGATCTAAATTATCCAGTATTGTCTATGCAACCATTCTTGGAAACTGCTGCACCATTATTTAAATATGTGTTCAAATATTAATAAGCTTTTATTAATAATAATAAGTTATATAATTAAGTAAATCTACTTATGTATTAGTAATAATATTATTATACTATTATAATCATAATAGGCCTATATTATTATTTTTTTATATTTGTATATTTTCTGTTTTAATTTTAAAGTTTTAGTAGTTTTGTGTTTTTGTCATTTTTATTTTCTTTTGTTAAATATGTCTGTATAGTATTTATAGTTCTTAATTTTTTATTTAATTTTTGTTTTCGTTATTTTAGTACATTAAGTTAAACAAAATGAAAATGAGAAATGTTGCCTTTGCAACCAATTAAAAAATACCTTAAAATTTTTATTTGATATTTTTATATTTATCTCAGTCAGTTAATAACATTTTTTATATTATTTATTTTAATATAAATTTTTATTTTATTTCAGTTAATAAAATACATTTTCTATATTTAATTTTATATACATTTTATTTCTGGTAATAAAATATTTTTACATTTATTTTTATGTTAATTTATTTTATTTCAATTAATAAAAGATTTTTTTTTTAATACTAATTATTTTTGTTGATTTTATTTTATTTCCATTTTTTTTATGATTTTAGTTTTAGTTATTAACTATAACAACCCTGATTTGAATAAATTCAACAGCACATTAATAGACCAGTATGCAACAAATTCAAAATTACCCTCTTAGAGTCTTTATGTCGTTAGTCAAAAGTCTGACTGTGCAAGTCTAGACTATTTTTAGATGCCCATTTTCATTGGCAACCCAACATTATATTACTTGGGTTAATGTAATTTCCCTGCTGAAGTTTTTGAATTGCATCAAGGTAACGCTCTATGTTTGTCTCTTGTATTTTTCCATAGGCGGCGTGACCACGTTTGTGGCTTTGTATGACTACGAGTCACGAACAGCCACTGATTTGTCATTCAGGAAAGGAGAACGACTCCAGATTGTCAATAACACGTAAGAGAGGAAACACAAAAACACTCGCGCAAAAATAACAGGGCTCCGGAGGGCAATAGACACACCCACTGACGCAGACACACACACACACACACACACACGTCTCATCTGTCTGACTGCTGAAACCCCCCCCCAAGCACACGTAGCCCCCCCTCTTCCTCTTTGGTAACCATAGGAACTGGCTCCCTCTGAAGGCACTGTATTTGTGGGAGATGACGGCTTTTTGTTCTCTGGATTCCTTTTTTGGTCTTCCTGTGCACAATAAAAGCTCAGCTGCACGTCTTTACCTCCACTTCCCCTCCCAGACCAAAGGGAGCATTTTCCTTCCTTTCTACACCTGCGGTTCACTTCCTTATTCCAGTGCACAGCGCTACCATTAACAGAATAAAAACACTCTCAGAAACATCCTCTGGTTTCAGCACAAAGCAGACCTGGGGATTTGCTTTTTTATGTCAGGCTAGTATATGAGTGAATCTCTCGAAACGGAACATGGACGGGTCATATTTCACCCCCAAAATCAAAAGAAAGAAATGAGAAATGATATTTTGCTGAATGAAAATGAAGCCTGTGTTTAGTAGCATTAAGACTTTTTAAATTGTGACATCATTTTCATGACAATTATGCAGCTGTTCCTCACAAATTGTCATTTTCATTTCATGATACTCTTTTATTCATACTAATTTTGAATATAATCTTGATCTTTGTAACACTGAACAAATTACTGTATTACAGTAATGAGAATCTTTTAAAAATGATGGGATTTACAAACCAAAAATCAGAAGGAAAACTTCTACACAGTAAGAAGTGAGAAATGTGATCAACTGATATTAAAAGGTCCTGAAAATATATATATTTTTTAAATTAAAAAACACAGTAATATTGTGAAATATTATTGCAATTTAAATGTTTTCTATTTGAATATATATTACTTTTTTTACATTTTGCTTATTGCTTAAATTTAGCTGCTTAATGTTTTTTTTGGAAACTGCTTATATTTCATATTTTTCAGCATTTATTTGAAATCTAATTTTTTTAATTAAATTAAATAATATTATAAATGTCTTTACTGTCACTTTTGAACAATTCATTGTGTCCTTGCCAAATAAAAGTATTAATTTATTTAAAAAGAAAAATGTAAATGGCAGTGCATGTATACTTTGTTTTCATGAAAGAATGACTCTTATGAGTCATTTTTAATGAATTGTGCAGATTATCAGTTTGAAGAAGTCTGATGAATCATTCACTGAATGAATTTAATCCAAATTTGTATATGATTCATTATGATCTAAAGTCATTACTTTCAGTCATATTAGACTTGAAGTGAAGCATACTTAATGTGTCTTTTTTTAGACATTAAAACAAGTTACCAAAATAGTGTTGTGGTTAAGACCAATTTTGGGGTGTTTAAACCGTTTGGGTTAAAAAAAAGCCCTGGATGTTTTCATGAGATTCACCCTTTAAACCACAAGCAATCCCCACCGCTGTCCATAACCCTTCCCAGAAGCCCCTGATAATAAAGTAATCAGCTTTTTAACAAAATCACCAAGCTGCTCCGGCTTATCGCTGGGACCTTCTGAATCGTGTGTCAGCAGCAGAGATAATCAAACGCACATTACAGTACTCGACTGATGATGAGTTGGATAAATGCTGTGTTTTCAGTGCATCATTGCTGCAGCTGACCTTCAGTCAGTTTTTAAGATTATGTGGGATGTTTGCTTCTGCTTTTAATGTCCAAACACTTCATGTCTCCTCTGTGTTTTTCCTCTACACGCTCTCGCTCGTTTATGTAGGAGAAAGTTGAACCCCAGGTTGGTAAAGTTGCTCATGCTTTCAGCTTTCAGTGTCCATTTTCTGTGTGTGTATGTGTGTCTTTTCACCATTTGCTTGTCCACCTGAGATTTGTCCTGACTTTCTAGAGACTGTGGAAGTCGTCCAGAAATAGTGTCACACCTCCTCATAACTGGCTCACTCACGACCATTTTACATTTGTCCTTCACGTTGACTTTGTGGATGGTCCTTTGGTGTATTATCCATTGTTCCTTTACATTTGCTTAGGCTACATGCTAATTTCCATGCTATTGTATCTGTACTGTATGCTGTGCTAGATTAGAATAAGTGCGTAAGTCATAGAACGATGAAAATCATATCAAATATAACATTTTCTGTCCTATGTTGACACATTTCCTGTTTAAGCAGGACGTTGTCACAGGAACATGTCCACATGTTCCTTTTTTAGATCGCAAACATATAAAGTCGCAGATTTAGTGGGAGTAAATTAGCATAGAGTTGGCCTAAAAATGAGCAGACTCTGAAACCCACTAAAGTCTGATTTTGATTTCATGGGGTCATAAAGTGAATGAACTTAAAAGCAGCCATGTTAAAATATCATTAGCATTTAGCTAAATTAGCATAGTAAAATTGTAAACTAAAGGCTACGTGCTGCGTTTTTAGTTTTGCTAACTTGCTAGTTCTCATTCTCGTTCCGGAGATCATTTTATTGGACAAAAATCCATATGCACCTCACAAAATGAAAGATTAAATGCGTATATGGGCTAAAAAAATAGCACATATTCTATGCTAGGAGTTCACTATATGAGTTAAGCTAACAGACGTGGACTAAAATCCACAAAAGCTCAGTCAAGTTTTGATTTCATGTGGCCATTTAAAACTATAATGTTCAGGAAGCATTAGCATTTAGCTAAAGTAACATTAAAAATGTAAACTAAAGGCTAATGGGTGTGTTTAGCTAACTTGCTAGTTGTCATTCTCATTCTAGAGATCATTTTATTTGACACAAATCTGTATACCCCCCACAAAATGAAAGACTAAATGCCTATGCGTATATTTTTAGCACATATGTTAGGCTAGGAGTACACTAGCAGATGATATCAAAGCTAAAATGTAAATATCCATTCAAATTCAGTAAAGGTTTGATTTCATGTGGTCATATAAATTAATAAACTTCAAAAAACATTTCAGACAGCGTTAGCATTTAGCAAAGTTAACATAGTACAAATGCAAACCAAAGGCTATGGCTACATTTTCAGTTTAGCTAAATTAGCTAGTGTTTTTATAGCTAATATTATATAGTAATACACTTGCATACTAGCATATGAATGACATCAAAGCTTACAGGTTAATAAAAACAAATAAAATTCAGTCAGTTTTATGGGGGTCATTAATGAACTTAAAAGCAAGATAGCATTAGCATTTAGCTAAATTAACAGGAAAAAATGGCGCTGTTTTGACTCAATTTCGATGTTGTAGTAGGTGCATAATGGTTTTAAAATGTAACATTAAAAGTAGACTTTTTCATAAGTAATTTAGGTGTATAGATGTTAGGTGTACAGTGTTTTCTACATAAATTATTGCTCAATTGTAGCCTCATTGCTTTCTCCTCTCATATACCCTTCTTATCAGAATCACTGTTTTTATGCCTTTTCATACATAAATAATTCATTAACATCTGAATTTTGAATGGTACGCTGTGAATGAATAATATATTTGCATTGTATGAATATGAGTATGTGCCCATCTGTGTATATACTGTATGTCATTGTTTTCACTGGTGCGGTTATGTTTTAATTACGTTCAATGACAGCTAGCAGTAGCTCAGAGACCTGGGAGAGGTTTGTGTCGGGTCAGCATGTCGTGGTGATGGAAGAAGTCTTATTACTTTAGCTTAGGGAGTGAGTCACAGTCTGACACCCCACAGCTCACACTAAAACACAACATCTATTATTAAAAACCCATCAAGACTCCCAGAAAATAGAGACCCAGACAGATGACTCACTTTTTGATAAATCAACCAGTTTTGTAGTAAATAATTCACCCAAAAATGAAAAAATCCATCATTCCAAACCCATATGATTTTCTTTCTTTTATAGAACTTAAAAAGAGGTATTTTGATGAATGCTTGTGCTGCTCTTTTACACTTAATAAAGGCATATAGCATATAATAGTGCTGGGCGGTATGACCAAATATTCATATCATGGTATTTTTCAAAATTATACCGGTTTCACAGTATATAACAGTATTTTTTTTTCATGCATGACCGGGTGTTAACCACATTTTCTACTGATTGAGAGAGGAAATACGGCAGTAGATTGACTTAGAAAAAATGTGTCATTTTAACTGAAGATATTGTTTGTCATTTAGTGTTTCTGTAAAAAAACGTTATTTAAGTGACATACGTATATGTATTGCTGTATTGCGGTATATTAAAAATTAATATCATAACAAAAATAAGCACTTATTAACACGTATAATAATAATAATAATAATAAACACGTATTCGGTATGAACCAGTATACCTCCCAGCACATAATTTATTTTTTAAAGGAATCAATACTTTTATTCACCAAGGAAGCATTAAATTGATCAAAAGTAGAATTTGCAAATGGGATCTGTCTGTCTGTCTGTCTGTCTCACTCTCTCCCTCCCTATCTATCTATATCACTCTCTCCCTCCCTATCTATATCTCTATCTATATCTCTATCTATATCTCTATCTATCTATCTATCTATATCACTCTCTCCCTATCTATCCATCTATCCATCCATCTATCTATCTATCTATCTATCTATCTATCTATCTATCTATGTCACTCTCTCCCTATCTATCTATCTATCTAGATTATGCACTCCATATGAGAGGCATAAGATACAGTAGTAAGTGTAAGTAATATGGGTTTGGAACAACATGAGGGTGAGTAAATGACTGTTTATTTTGGGAGAAGTGAACTATCCCTTTAAATGTATGTTTCATTTATGCATAATTTGGCAGTGCAGGTAGTTAATGTCTTTAGAGCAGCTTTGTCTGCATTCTCATGGCTCATTTCATGGATTATAAAGCAGGAATAATACCGCAGATGTAATTTCAGGGTGTTTGTTTTGGGCCGTCTTGAATGTGTCACCAAATATGTTGAATGTGAGTTAAACTGCAGGTGTATTATGTGTGTGTTTTCTGCCGTCTTAGGGAAGGCGACTGGTGATCTATCTGTCTGTCTGTCAGTCATGTCTGTCATCTATCTGTCTGTCTGTCTGTCTGTCTGTCATCTATCTGTCTATCTGTCAGTCTGTCATCTATCTGTCTGTCATCTGTCTGTCTGTCTGTCATCTGTCTATCTGTCAGTCTGTCTGTCTGTCATCTATCTGTCGGTCTGTCTGTCTGTCTGTCATCTATCTGTCTGTCTGTCAGTCATGTATTTCAGGGTGTTTGTTTTGGGCCGTCTTGAATGTGTCACCAAATATGTTGAATGTGAGTTAAACTGCAGGTGTATTATGTGTGTGTTTTCTGCCGTCTTAGGGAAGGCGACTGGTGGCTGGCTCGCTCGCTGACGACGGGAGAGAGTGGATACATTCCCAGCAATTACGTGGCACCGTCTGATTCCATCCAGGCTGAAGAGTAAATCCTCTTCCTCCTCCTCTTTCTCTCCTTTTCTTTGCTGTTCTCCTCCCTGTGAATCTTCTGGTTTGCATTGTATTCCCTTAATTGTGATGTCAGATCTCTCAGTTCAGCTGAGTGTGATTCTAGGTCCTCATTGAGGATTATTTTACTAAACAAAACAATAGTTGAAAGAAATTTTTAACACTTATTTCAATTTGTTATGAGTCGGATGTTTAGTCAGTGAAGTGAGTCGATCACATGTTCATTTTCGAACCGCCCTGACTGATTCATGAGTCGCAAAACTGATTCATCAAAAAGAACCGGCTCATGAGAGTCATGAGAGTAGATGTCTGTCATCAATCTGTCTATCGATCTATCGATCTATCTATCTATCTATCTATCTATCTATGTCTGTCTGTCTGTCTGTCTGTCATCTATCTGTCTGTCTGTCTGTCTGTCTGTCTGTCATCTATCTGTCTGTCTGTCTGTCTGTCTGTCTGTCATCTATCTGTCTGTCTGTCTGTCTGTCTGTCTGTCATCTATCTGTCTGTCTGTCTGTCTGTCTGTCTGTCATCTATCTGTCTGTCTGTCTGTCTGTCTGTCTGTCATCTATCTGTCTGTCTGTCTGTCTGTCTGTCTGTCATCTATCTGTCTGTCTGTCTGTCTGTCTGTCTGTCATCTATCTGTCTGTCTGTCTGTCTGTCTGTCTGTCATCTATCTGTCTGTCTGTCTGTCTGTCTGTCTGTCATCTATCTGTCTGTCTGTCTGTCTGTCTGTCTGTCATCTATCTGTCTGTCTGTCTGTCTGTCTGTCTGTCATCTATCTGTCTGTCTGTCAGTCAGTCATCTGTCTGTCTGTCATCTGTCTGTCTATCTGTCAGTCATCTGTCTGTCATCTTGTCTGTCAGTTATCTGTCTGTCAGTCATCTGTCTGTCTGTCATCTGTCTGTCTATCTGTCAGTCATCTGTCTGTCATCTATCTGTCTGTCTGTCTGTCTGTCAGTCATCTGTCTGTCTGTCTGTCTGTCATCTGTCTGTCATCTGTCTGTCTGTCATCTGTCTGTCTATCTGTCAGTCATCTGTCTGTCGTCTGTCTGTCTGTCTGTCAGTCATCTGTCTGTCATCTATCTGTCTGTCTGTCAGTCATCTGTCTGTCTGTCTGTCATCTGTCTGTCTATCTGTCTGTCAGTCATCTGTCTGTCTGTCATCTATCTATCTGTCTCTGTCTGTCGATCTATCGGTATCTATCTGTCTGTTGATCGATCTATCTATGTCTGTCTGTCGATCTATCTGTCTCTCTCTCTCTCTCTCTCTCTCTCTCTCTCTCTCTCTCTCTCTCTCTCTCTGCCAGTTTCCAAGGAAATATATCTAATTTTCATTTCATTTAACGTGATTTACTAAAACAACTAGAGATAAAATAAAAAATTAATAAAAACTATAAAGACAAGACATAAAAAAATACAAATGACAAACACACAACACAATTACTAAAACTTTAGCAAAAATGAAAATGGAAAATATACAAAAATAACGATTACATTTTGAAAAAATAAAAACTAAATTCAGACTATTATTAAACAATAATATTATCTCAATGACACTAAAATAACACTGACACTCAACCCTTGTGACGTTACTAACAGAATGATTCATTCTCGCCCCTCTCTCTCTCCTTCCGGTCTGACCTTTGAGTCCTTCATATGCCCTCCTCCATTATCTGCGATGTAGTCTCTCCATCATCTCATCAGTTAGAAAGAAAAAACCCTTGTGGCCCAAAGACCTTTTCCTTCTTGACTGTGTAAAATACGTCAGTGTTTGCCTCAGGCGGCCCGTCTACTATTGTCTGTCCTGTTCATATTCCGGTCATTTTTCCTGAGACACACACGCGCTGTTGCTCAGTCGACTGCCGCATTAAACAAATACACACAAGCACTCCTTTGAAAACCTGTAATGACTCATTTTTCCACCCTTGCCTTGCCAGTCATCTCAGATTGACTCTGGAGAAAAGGTAAGACTCTGAGAGAGCGCAGCGGCTAACAACAAACTGCGCTGATTTATAGACACTAAATGTCACCGAGTCGCTCATGAATCCCAAACACCATCGTTTTATCGCTTCTGGGACTAAGAGTAGGAATATTACAACCTGAATCAGTGTTCAATATCTCATGCAGCACAATTCAGATGACGATTATTGTAAAGTATAATCATTTCAGGCCCAAAACATGCAAGTTAATGCAAACGTTATTAGGTACGCAAGCTCAATTTCATAATAGATTAAATGTACACTACTGTTTAAAAGTTTGGGGTTAGTAAGATATTTTAAAAATAAATTTTAGCAAAGACACATTAAATTGATCAAGAGTGACAGTATAGAGATTTAGAATGTTACAAAATATGCTGTTTATCAGAAAATCCTAAAACAGTTTGTACAAAAATATGAAGCGCCACAGCTGCTTTCAACGTTGATAATAACAATAAATGTTTGTTGAGCAGCAAATCATCATATTGGACTGGTTTCTGAAGGATCATGTGACACTGAAGACTGGAGTAATTCAGCTTTGCATCACAGGAATAAATTAGATTTTAACATTGATTAAAATAGAAAAAAGTTATTTTAGATTCTAATGATTTCAAAATATTAATAAATAAATGCATCCTTGGTGAGTTTATTCTTACAGACACTAGACTTTTGAATGGTGGTGTACATGTTTGCTCAATGGGATGGCAGTTCTGAATGTGTACCAGCATAAGCTGTGTGTCTCTGATACTGTTACATGTGATTACTTACTCTAAATACACACTCTCTCTCTCTTTCTTTTTCTTCATCTCTCTCCAGATGGTACTTTGGAAAGATCACACGCAGGGACTCCGAGCGCCTCCTCTTGAGTCTGGAAAACAGGAGAGGAACTTTCCTGGTCCGAGAGAGTGAGACAACCAAAGGTGATTGAATGTAAACAGTACAAACGCTGAACACTTTTTTTTTTTTTTTTTTTTTTTTTATCTATTTAAAAGTAGTTTTTGTGTGTGTGCGTGCGCGGTAGCTAACAAACAAGATCCCACTGTAGGCTTGTCAATTTATATTGTTTAGTTTTCTTTAAAACTCAAAGGTTACGCAAAACCTGCAGAATAAAAAGGATAATCCTGGATCTTTCTTTTTTTTTTTTTTTTTTTTTTTTTTATCTATTTAAAAGTAGTTTTTGTGTGTGTGCGTGCGTGCGCGCACCGGGACAATGCACGTTAATAAATGTTTCTGTAAATGCACCAGATTGAACCCAAAGGTTATTTTTCATCTGTAGTCCCTGGACAGTGTTACAAGTCTTCCTAAAATGAAAATGTACAGAAATAGACAATTATTCAAATTAAAAACCAAAAAAAAGGAGCATAGCATTAACACAAACATATATGGCATACACATTATATTAAATATATAAATCCATCCAAAGGCACAATAAAATATTTTATTTATTAATCATTTAATATTAAAATAAAAAGAATTATTAAAATGATATCCACATAAAAAGGAGCAAAGCAAAAAAACACAAATATACGGCATACACAGTATATTAAATATACAAATCCATTCAGAGGCGCAATAAAATATTTAATTAAATTTAATATTAACATAAGAATTATTACAATTATATCCACATAAAACAAGGAGCAAAGCAAAAGCACAAAAAAAAATATTTCATACACAGTATATTAAATATATAAATCCATCTAACACCATAAAAGCACAATAAAATGTTAAGCTCTTTATTATTAATTCATTAATAAACAGTAATAAGAATTATTAAAATTGAATCCACATAAAATACTAAAAGGAGCAAAGCAAAAACCAAAATATATGGCCTACAAAGTATATTAAATCCATCTAATACCATAAAATCACAATAAAATGTTTTATTTTATTTATTATTAAATATAAAAAGAATTGTATTATTATTATTACTACTATAGCAAATAATTTTTTTTATAATTTATATTGTTTATTAATTTAAAATAATTATTATAATGATAATAGTAATACATATATTTTAACATTTTTAATTTAGATAAATTGTCATTTTTTTATTTTAATTCTGTTTACCACAGTTTTGTGAATTAATATAGAATTAATATTTTATAATTACCCTTTGTCTGGTGTCACAGTGTTGATTCAAAGGCCAAACTGTAGGGATGAATGGGAAATTGTGTCAGAATGAAATCTAGGGAATGAAACTCCATTCTTTCCAGCTTGGCACTCATAACATTAGGGTCAAGAGTTCAACATCCCAGGGAATGCAAAAACCTTTTTTTTTTCTTTCTTAACTTTTCTTTTTTTTTTTTAACGAAAGCATCTCTCAAAAAATTTTTTCCAGTCAAATTCAGAGACCACAGCTACTGTAACAGTTGCATAATAAAGAAACTATTCATATACACAGCGATGACAAATAACCAACACCAGTGTGGAGGACATTGCTCATGCGTGTGTCTACATTGAGGAAATTGCATTTCAGGATTTCAGATCAGAACAAAGTGCACGTTCAATTGAATTCCCCTTTTCTGCATTCCTCATCTCCTCCCTGCAGCCTTTCTCTCTCTAAACACTGTAAAGATCCACGCTCCATATATGGCCATTTACACAAACAACGTTCATCTGAGATGACATGTGAAGAGTACATATGGCTGCGTACGACAGTATACGAAGGTCAGAAAAGTGCTTGCAGGGATGAAGAGCGAGAAGTAGGTCAAGCGTATAACCGGGAGCCATAGCACACAGCTCATACGATCAGCGAGAGGCTCGCGGAGAGACCGAGAGAGACTGAAGATGAGTCAATCCCCAAAGAAACCAGGGAGCAAGTGACAGACAGAGTGAATGAATGTGTGTGATGACCACAGCGCCCTCTACAGAGCATTTTACACAGTGTTTATTAACCCTATGAAGACCTGGAGCCTGTTTCATAAAACAAGTTTACCAAATAAGCCAGGCTTATTTCAGTTAGTCTGACTTATTGTCTGCTGATATGGTTCAAAATAATTCAGACTAACTGAAATACGCCTGGCTTGTTTGGTAAACTTGTTTTATAAAACAGGCCCCAGAATCATCAACGTGATCAAAATGTTCCTGAAAGGCCTGTTATGCACCAGCTACTACATATTTTCTGTCGTCTGATTGATTTGAGTTGATACTTTTTTACCAAGTAAAAGGCCTTTTAAAGGGACAGTTCACCCAAAAATGACACTTCTTCTGTTGAACACAAAAGAAGATATTTTTGAAGAATGTTGAAGAAGCCAAACAGTTGACGCCGGTAGCCATTGACTTCAGTAGTATGGAAAAAATACTATGGAAGTCAATGGGGACCAGAAACTGCAAAAGAAAGAAAGAAACAAATGCACCAAATGGATGTTTTTGCTCAGATTAGTCGACTTCAAGGAAAAATAAAATACTACAAAAGTGTCGAATCTGGCACCCGTCATACTAATCTAACAGTTTCAAATCTAAATGTTTGTTAGTGCCGTCCATGTCATCCGCTTCACCTCTCAAATGTGTTCTTTGTGGTTTTTTTAGGTGCCTACTGTCTTTCCGTTCTGGATTACGACAACGTCAAGGGTCTAAATGTCAAACATTATAAGATCAGGAAGCTGGACAGCGGGGGATTTTACATCACGTCGCGCACTCAGTTCAGTACATTACAGCAGCTGGTCAACCACTACCACCGTGAGTCGCTTTCTCATAGACCTGCTCCTTTCTGAATGTCTGTGAAGGGAAGTGATACAGACTGGTATTTCTGGAAGTGGGAACTCGAGTTGTTGCAAAATAAGAAGACTGTTAGATCTATAAAAAATCTATTGCATAAAGCAATTACATAATGACTCATCCTTTACTTCTTATGCTGCCCTAAATATAGCATTAATAGGCCCTAAAACCCTGCTAAGAGAAAGATGTAAGATGTTTACCACATTTCAGTTATTTATGGGTTAAGTTATGGGTATTATTATTATTTGTATTAATATATTATTATTTATTGTCAATAATTATAATCATTTTGTAGATTACGTAAATTATTATTATTATTGAAAAAGAATAATACAAAAATAATTATAATACATTTAAGGTATGTTGTTAATTAAAAATTAATTAAATATTGCATTTTTATTAATTAATTTGTTAATGTGGTTAAATTTTATTTATTATGTTAGAATAAGTTATAAAGCATAAGTATTATATAGTAAGTTGTATAAGTATTTACTTATTTTTTATTCCGTTTTATTATTTATTTTAAATGATTTAATAATATATTAAATATTAATCTTCATTTATTAAGGTATACTAAAAATATTAAAATAATTGTATTATTATTAAAAATAATAAGTTATATTTATTTATTATTTATAATAAAAAAAAATGTTTGACTAGTAATAATACATTTCATTTTAACTTTTTAATTTAGTTAAATTGCCATTTTTAATTTTAATTCTGCAACAAAAGCATCTTTGTGCATTTAATACAGAATCCGAATGAGCCAGAACTACCCATTAAAAAAAAAAGAAAATACTATTGCAGTAACAATGCAAAATTTTTTATCGAAAAAAAACAAAACATAAACACGCTCCTTTCTGTCTGTGTCCGTGACAGAGCACGCAGACGGCCTGTGTCACTGTCTGACTGACGTGTGTCCCGTGCTGAAGCCTCAGACTCAGGGCCTGGCACGGGACGCCTGGGAGATCCCACGGGACTCTCTGAGACTGGACGTCAAACTGGGCCAGGGCTGCTTCGGAGAGGTCTGGATGGGTAAGACTGCTTCTTTCAACTTCCTTCCTTCGAAAACTAAAGCTTTGTGAGTTAAATTAGAAGTTCACCAGTACAAAATACCACAGCTGTGTAATGATGCAAGCAAGAGTTCACAGTGTCTTTTTTTCCCATCAGGCACTTGGAACGGCACGACATGCGTGGCCATCAAGACCCTGAAGCCTGGCACTATGTCTCCTGAGGCCTTCCTGCAGGAAGCACAGGTGATGAAAAAACTCCGGCACGAGAAGCTGGTGCAGCTTTACGCCGTCGTCTCGGAGGAGCCCATTTACATCGTCACTGAGTACATGGGACAAGGTCAGTACAGAGATCCAGTGCACTATATTGGGCCAAAGATGTCTAAGAAACGAGAACTCGCTGTAAGATGTGTAAATAGAGCATCAAATCTGGTTATAGCAGCTTTGTGGTGAGGTCTGCCAGTAAAGGTGTGAATAGAGATGTGACGCAGTGATTTCTGCTTTCACAGGAAGTCTGCTGGATTTCCTGAAGGGTGACATGGGGAAAATGCTGCGGTTGCCTCAGCTTGTGGATATGGCCTCTCAGGTACTTTCATACTGGCATTATGATAGGATATCTAATAATGAAATCACAAAGAAAAATACACTTTTTTTTTTTTTTATGTTTTGATACTTAAATAAAAAGTAATATAATTGGAAACGTTATATTAGAAAATGTACATTACTGATCAAAAGTTTGGGTGTGGTAAGTTGTTGTTTTTTTTATGTTTTGAAAGACATCTTATGCTCACCAAGGCTGCATTTATTTGATATAAAAATGCAGTAAAAACAAATATTTTTGCAATTTAAAATAACTGTTTTCCATTTGAATGTATTATAAAATGTAATTTATTCCTCTGATCAAAACCGAATTTTCAGCATCTTATCTATCTATCTATAATTTTTATCTATAACTTTGATGAATTGAAAGTTCAAAAGAACAGCCTTAATAATTGAATGCATCCTTTCTGAATATAAGTATTATATTATATTATATTATATTATATTATATTATATTATATTATATTATATTATATTATATTATATTATATTATATTATATTATATTATATTATATTATATTATATTATAAAGTATTATATTATATTATATTATATTATATTATATTATATTATATTATATTATGGAACTGAACACATTTTCATGACTCCAAAACTGACTAAAAATGTTGAAGAAAAAGTATTATTTACTTTACTAAAAATAATAATTGCGAATTTTATGTTTGTTGTGTGTATTATATATATATATAATTTTTTTTCATGACTCCAAGACTGACTAAAGTAGCCACAAATCGATTTTAGTTTTACTTTTTGATACAGAATCTTACAACCCACTGTAATTAAACATGAAAATGCCACTACATAACAATAGCAATGACCCTAGGCTACTCTGAAACATTATATACATTTGCAATAAATAAATAAATAGATTAAAAAAATGTAGTTCCTGTAGCTCAAACAGTACAGCACAGCACCAATGCCAAGGTCATTATCTTGAAAGCAATGTAAGTCGCTTTGGATAAAAGTGTCTGCCAAATTCATAAATGTAAACGTAATTAAATTAACACTCGTAGAGTAAAAAATAAAAATCTAAATAAAAAAACTGTATAACCCTGTACTGAAGGAGGAACTATGCTTAGAGACTTGAATACTGTAGAGCGCATCACTAAAAACAGCATTGTGGTGGTGGTTTTTGCATGGCCAAGCGCCACTGACACGGTCTTCATAATGTATATGAATCTATTTCTATTCTGTGGATACTCTGGAGGGCGGTGTTATAATTTATGGTGTTGTCCTCAGATCGCCTCTGGGATGGCGTATGTGGAAAGAATGAACTATGTGCACAGGGACCTCAGAGCTGCCAACATCCTGGTGGGTGATAACCTGGTGTGTAAAGTGGCTGACTTCGGCCTCGCTCGACTCATCGAGGACAACGAATACACAGCCAGACAGGGTGAGCAGGAGCACTGCGACTCCGTCCTTCTCCATGTTCTTCACATCTTCAGTTGTTTCCTGAGGCCGTAACGTCGCTGTTTCATTTTCAAGACTTAATGCTGTTGCCTTTTCTGCGCTTCGACCTTAATTGAATCAGTTTAATCATGATGACAGGCCGCTCTTAAATCATTATTACAACAGGAGCCAAGTTTCCCATCAAGTGGACTGCGCCAGAGGCGGCGCTTTACGGCCGCTTCACCATCAAATCTGACGTGTGGTCGTTTGGGGTCTTACTGACGGAGCTGGCGACCAAAGGCAGGGTGCCTTATCCAGGTACTACTGCTCTACAGTCAAATATTAATCAGAGTCACCGGCTCATCTTATTCAAAAAAAATTTATTATAAATGATCTCTAATATTTATATATATAAAAATATATATGTGCAATTACATATTGAAAAAAGCACTATATATGTTTTGAAAAGTAATTAATTTAAAAGTATAAATTATGCTATACATTATTTTAAAACTATTTATTTTAATTTTTTCCCAATGAGTCCAGTGCAGGGTTCATCATCTCTAAAAAAAAAAAAAAACTGAATCTTTTAAATATTAATCTTTTATATTATTCTTATCATTATTATCCAATGCAAATCCAATGATTTTTTTTTTATCTCTAACAAAATGTAATTCTTTTAAGCTTATAAAACAATTACATATTATTTTCACTTAGAATTATTCACACTGAATCCAACACATTGAGTTTAAACATTTTTGTTTATAAAAAATAATAAATGTTTTTGAGATTTTTTTTTTCTTCCACTGGCCATAATGTAATAATTTGTTTAAAAATATGTTGTTGTTATTATTATTATTATTATTTCCAAATTATTCACATTGAGTCAAATGCCAGGGAAAAAATTTAACACTTTTAAACTTAAAAGAAATTCCATTCAACACAGTGAGTTTTTTTTTTTAATTATTATATTTAAAATGAATATTTAAAAGAAAATGTAAAAAAAATGTTTTGAGGGTGTTTATGACAATATAACACATAATATTGTCATATTAAATGACATTTTAAAGAGCACTCTGCGCAAAGGACACATGAAAGCATTTCCGGTTGTTCCTCCCTGCTGACAACCCACATCCTCTGCCTGGTTAAAATGTGCCTGCACCACAATCTGACACCTGACCCACATCCACCCTGCTTGACGTGTCTCCTCCGCTCAGGTATGGTGAACCGGGAGGTGCTGGACCAGGTGGAGCGCGGCTACAGGATGCCCTGTCCCGCCGAGTGCCCCGAATCCCTGCACGAGCTGATGCTGACCTGCTGGCGCAAGGAGCCCGAGGAGCGGCCCACCTTTGAATACCTCCAGAGCTTCCTGGAAGACTACTTCACCTCTACTGAACCACAGTACCAGCCGGGCGAGAACCTCTAGAGATGCAGATCCAGTCAAGTGTGAGAGCAGCAAAAAGGATATCATTTCCCTTACCGGGAAAAAGAACGCGGGATGTTTGTGGCATAACCCAACCAATACTGATCCACACGTGACGACAACGTCGCATCCAGCTAAATCAGCCCATTTAAAGCAACTTACTGGGTTTTCACATGGTCTCAAGTGTTACAGCATTATAATCGCATGTTTCTCCACTTTCATCGCAGATGAGCTGCAAACAGCAAGACAAGATGCATCTTTTCTGCAAATAAATTCAATAACAAATTGCTTCTTCAGCCGCCGTTGTTTCTGCTGATAATTGATCCCTAGCTGTTTTCTTGACCTCGATATACCACCACTTCTCTTCTAAACCCTTTTAGCGGATGCTCCAGATCTGTCATTCATCCTCCAAAGTAATTAATTTAAAAGTATAAATTATGCTATACATTATTTTAAAACTATTTATTTTAATTTTTTCCCAATGAGTCCAGTGCAGGGTTCATCATCTCTAAAAAAAAAAAAAAACTGAATCTTTTAAATATTAATCTTTTATATTATTCTATAAATTATTATTTAAGAATTATGTCACCCAAAATGTAATAAAGTAAAAGTATAAATTATTAAGCTATAATAATAATATTTATATATGTATACATTTATGTGTGTGTGTGTGTGTATCCTAAAAAAAACTTTTTTTTAATTTTTAAAAATAATAATAATAATGAATTCATGTATTCCATTTGTTTAAAGAATGGTACATTATTGTTATCATTCATCCTCCTCCCACAATCCCTCACTTCTATCCTCTCCCATCCCCCTTCAAACCCCCAAAGCGTCAGCTCCATCAGCTCTGGTGTTCGTCGTGAACCCTGCGACCCGTTCTCAAGCTCAGATGGACGAGGTTTGATCGCCAACATCGCATGTTGGGAGACATCTGTGACCGCAGCTCTCTCGTGACGAACAGACGTTCCCGTTAATGTCTTCCAGTAGATATCCAGGGGCTGTATCTGAACGTGGTATTTTATGCCTTTTAATGGTAGAAATGAGCTTTTTGTCCCACTATGCTTGTTTGTTTCTTTTGTATCGACCTGGATCAACTGGAATAAGAACGTGATTGGTTGAACACTGGTCACATGATTGGAAGTCGTTCTGAATTCTGAATGATGGAAACGAAACATTCTTTCTTTTAATATGGATCGTTCAGAATGTGGTTTCATTTGATGCAGTTATTCTACTCTTCTAGTATTCGAAACAACTACTGATATATAGCATTGTTTTTGTTTAAAGCAGATATGACTGTATAGTCCTACTTTGTGTGCCAATACAAAGGAAAAAATGAATTTTGTACTGTTTTATTATGTATAAAATGTATTTTTATTAATGTTGTTTTTGTAACAAAGAGGATGAGCAGGCTTTGTTACTAGAATTTAAAGGAATAGTTCACCGAAAAAAATGTCATGTAAAACACGAACGGAGATGTTTAGATGAATGTTCGTGCTGCTCTTTCCCATATACAGTACTTTTACATTTATTGCATGAGAAAAACATCCTCTAAATATCTCTTTTTGTATCCCATGAAAATGATAACAGCATTAATATTTGGAATAACATGAGGGTGAGTGAATTATGACATTTAAATTTGTACACTGCGAAAATGTTTTTCCCCTCTTAGCATTTTTGTCTTGTTTTCCCATTACAAATATCTTAACATTCATAAATCAAGCAAAATTATATAAGAGAGTTGTTTTCTGAAATTAAATGACTCTATGTTTAAAACAAGAAAGATATCTGGCAACCCTTAAAATTATGTATTTTTCTTCCCTAATTGTCAGATTTATTTTTCTCGTTTTAAACATAAACTCACTTAATTTTTATCAATTTTTTTCAGAAAACATAACTTTTTATCGTAAGAATTTTGCTTCTCAAGTTGATTTAAGAATGTTGAAATATTTGTACTGGAAAACAAGACAAAAACACTGAGGAAGAAAATCTACTTTTGTAGTGTCGGTGAACTATTGCTTTTATCACTCATGAATATTGTTTGAACTGACTCCTCAAAGCTTGTTAAATGCTTGAATTTCAAACGTTTTATCTTTTTGGCTTTTTTGAGACAAATTCTGATACGTGCTGTCAAAGTCGCCAATATGTTATATGCAAAATAGCCATTGTTATATATAATTGTGGGTAGCGACCTCAATCCCCTCGCTACTGCTTTCCTATAAGATCCATAGAAAGCCATGAACCTTGTCTGTGAGGTGTTAGTGATGGTTTGAGATACCCGAATAAATAATATAATCACTGCTGAGACAATGTAGAATGAAATAGTTTGTGCTGATATGATGATGGTTGCATCGATGGTAAGGGTTTAGAATGGCATGCAGCTGTAATCGCAGTAATTTAGCTGGTAGATGTGTGACGCCTGTCGATATTCTGTAAATACTTTCGTATGTAAATATTCTTTTCATATTTATTCATATTGCCTCAGTTTACGTTCAGCAGAGCTTTGCTCGTTTTTCCCCGTAAGATCAACGCTATAGGTAGACATTCGGTCCTGCGCGAAGCTGACCGCAAAAATATCCTAGTTGCGTTCTGCAAATCTGGTTTTCCTACAGCAACTGAATGCATAGAGAAGCAGACAATCACAAAACAGGAAGGATTCACAGATTCAAGTCGCTTTCTTTATTTTTATTTACAGTAAGAAGCTCACCTTTACGAATCATTTCTTTAGGTGTGACTTTGGCACTGTTTTATTGTTACTTTTTAACTGTTTTAACTTGCAATAAATCTGCTGTTGATTTTGACCGGTAGTTACTGCAAAGTAAACTGCACTGTATGCATCGCTCTGATCGTAATGTGACTTACGGAGGATATTTGACGATGAGTGGACGATGGCGTGTTCTTGGTTCGTGCTGTAGAACTGGAAAATAAAATTGAGAAGTAAAACGAGTCAGATCTACAATTATCCACAATATTAGTGCATCCCCATCTAATGTATTCAAACTATGCAGTTGTTGAGTTGCGTGTCTGTATTTGAACTGCAGTTGCTCACAATCCAGGTACTTGCTCCCAGTGTACAGTTCTGCAATGACTGGTTTCAAAATATGAAATAACACTGAAATGAGATTTGTACTTAAAAAAAATTATGACATGGTGTTATCTTTTTTTTTTTTTTTTTTTTAGTGCAATAAACTGTTTCTAAAGCTTAGATTTAAGCACAGGAGAGTTTTTATTTCTCAACTTGTTTTTGAAAGAATAGTTAACTCGGAAATTAAAATTTGCTGAAAATTTAGGCCTCAGGTCATCCAAAGTGTAGATGAGTTTGTTTCTTCATCAGATTTGGAGAAATTTAGCATCACATCACTTGCTCACCAGTGGATCCTCTGCAGTGAATGGGTGCCGTCAGAATGAGAGTCCAAACAGCTGATAAAAACATCACCATAATCCACACCACACCAGTCCATCAGTTAACATCCTGTGAAGCAAAAACAAATATGACTGTGGATTTTGATGTGAGAGGAAAACAGGAGATGGACTTTTTCACTGGAGGAAGCGTTATTGGCAATTATGGGCTGATGTTTTGGCCAGAAGTGACAGTTTAAACGTCTTATTGATTGATTTGGCTCTTACAAACACATAGCTTTTCGCTCCACTTTAAGATGTTAACTGACGGACTGGAGTGGTGTGGATTATTGTGATGTTTTTATCAGCTGTTTGGACTCTCATTCTGATGGCACCCATTCACTGCAGAGGATCCATTGGTGAACAAGTGATATAATGCTAATTTTTTTCCAGATCTGTTCCCTCGAATTAACAACTCATCTACATCTTGGATGGCCTGAGGGATTTTCAGAAAATGCTCATTTTGGGGTGAACTATTTTACCTTTAAGTTTGAATGCCCTGATATTTTCCTTGACAAAAAAAACAGAGATTATTAACCTGGCCATTCCTTGTTACTGTTTTACAGCTGGTTCTGTAAGGAAATGCAGTCAAATCTGGCCTCAAGCATTTACTGTGATTTGCTAAGCAGAGAGTTAAAGGAAAATTGTTGCAATAGTGTGTGATCCTAATAACTCACATTAATACGTTGTCTGTATGAAGAACTGAACCTGCAACATTTGTGTAAGTAGCACAGATCTGGGCAAATGCATACATGATATATGCTCATTACCCTTGAATTATGCCTGCTCATATTAATTATTATGATGATATGATTATGATAATAGACTTAATATATATAGTGTTAATTCTGCCATAGGTGAAAAGTGAATGGCCCTTAAAAAGCATTTTAAGTGGGGTAAATAAGTCCATATAAGAATATAAACTGCAGTTCAAGAACAGCAGTTCTAATATATAAAGATAATAGCATGACTTAATGATATTAGAGAAGCTCAGTCTCTTCATTTTTTTAATAGATTTAGGCTAGCTTTTATATTTTATTCTTATCAAGCAAGCATTCATTCATTGTTTTATTTTATTTTTTACTTTACCTGTTTTTTTTACATAAAATAAAGGGGTTATGTTAAAAATAATAATATATAATAGAATGGTAAATGGAAAGACGATTAATGAAAACAAAGGAAAAACAAAGGTGTTCCCCAGCAGAAGGTCCATAAATCCCATGTGATCCGACATCATTCAGTCTGATCCCTTTGGGCTCCTTAAGGATTTTTTTTGCGTTCATCTGCTTTTACCATTTGCTTTTTACATTGACGATCACTCTCTAAAAACTAATACAATCAGATAAATAATTTCTCAAATATTTATTACGAGATATACTGATAAATTTAACGTTTTAAATTAACGAACGTTTCCTTTTAGATGTCAAATAGACGTCTATTAGATGTCTTTAAGATGTTTATGATTTAGAATGTATGTAAATCTTACAGATGTCTGTCAGATGTTTGCACACAACAGGTGCTTTCCAGATCAAGTGATCTTTAACAGACATCTTGCAGACGTATGTGTGCTTTCTGGGATTTAAAAAAAATATATAACACGGCTGAAGGCACAACAAGCATGGGAACAGACAAACGGAGTCAACTGAGTGAGTCATTTACACTGGAACCGGTCCGATTGATTCAAACTGAAAAACAGATCAATTTTCGAATTTCGACAACACTTGTTAAGGTTTTTTTTTAAAGCACATATTGATAGGTGAAACGGAGCTTTTCGAAACTCCAAATCACCATTGCATTGCAAAATGATTCACCGTTTCGAAGCGCTTGAATCACTTGATTCATCGGGACTTCAAAGCACATATTGGGAATCATTTGATCAGGACTTCGGAGCGCTTATCGCGTATTATTTGATTGAACGGGACTTCTGAGCAGGTTCACAAATCTTATGATTCATATCGGAACTTGGAGCGGGTTTGCCAATCATTTCATGAATTGAAAGATTCGT